TCGGATCTCCTTGCAGAAGGCCTGGAGCGACGAGAGCGCCGCCTTCTCCTCCGGCGTCGCGTTGCGGAACGGCTCCTGGCGACCAAAGCGGAACACGTCGAGCGCCAACGTGTCGTCGAGCGACGAAAAGATCTTGACGCGCGCCAATTGGCCGATCGACGGGTCGTTCGGGAGCTGCTCAATGATCTTGGAGAGCATGCCCGGGTACTGCTCGCCCGTGCGGATGTACGAGTAGACCTTCTTGTCCGGCGAGCTCAAGAGGATCTCGGGCTGCTGCGCGTTCACGAGCGACGTGATCGCGTTCAAGTGGTGCAGGCGGTCTTCCTTGGTGATGGCGCGGAAGTAGGCCGCCGGCATGTTCTCGAGGAACCACGGCACCGTCTTGGCCGCGGTCTCCTTCTGAAGCGACTGCAGCGACTCGGTCAAGTCGTCCTTGGATTCCGCCTACACCATTTGACCCATGAGCATGCTGCCCATGTATCGATTCCGCGCGATCCATGCATGCTGCTGCTGCATGCATCGCGCGATGCTCCTCATGGAGCTGTACATACCGCCGACGAGAACGGGCGGGCCGCGCTGGCGGGCGCGACGAGCGAGCGGAGCGAGGCCGCGGGCGTCTTGGTCGAGATGCGCTGCAACATCTTGGGGTCGCGGAGCCAAACAAAAAGTGACTGGGAGCTTTTTCCTCCGCGCCCCTCGTTGCGTTGGACGGTATTTTAATGTCTCCGCTTACAAAAAGCAAGCTAACATAAAAATATGGCATTTAAAACGACCCCTCGCGACCGTTTGGCCCGCCGCCGAAATCGTTTTGGCCAATCAGGTGCGAGAGCGAAGTTCGAAGTTGCGTTTCGGCCTTTGGCGCTGCCCTCGTAAACGCACCGTGTCACTGTCAACAGGTGCATGCGCGAGGTTCAACCAAGCGCCGTCGTCGCATGGGCCCACAGCTTGTCGGACCGAGAGCTTGGGAGAGAACGAAATGCTCCTACGAGCTCCTCGTCGGTGTCGTTGCTATTACTGTGTAATCGTTAGAGCAGCGCGTGGAGTAGAAACAGGCGAAGAGGGGCGCACGGTTGAAAAAAGACTGCGTGCGTGAGACGCTACGTGGGGGCGCGATGGGTGGCGAGGGACATGTGACGCTGAAATCTTCGCTCGTCACTTGGCCAGCAGCCATTACAGCGCGGGTTTCCTGGTGCGTGATTGGATCGCTGGGCAAACCTGTGAATATTAATATTTGCAATACGATGCCAACTTCAAGCCACTGTGGCTGAAACGAAGGGACGCCGACTGCCGTGCAACGCTGGCCGGCGCATCCCGATATGGGGAGCGACGACTGCATGGTTTCGTACCATGTACGGTACTCTTCGAACCACGGCCTGGACATGGCCAAGCTCGGGGCATGGCACCTACTATTATTAGTATTAAAAGTGCCACCATGGTCATGGACAGGATCGGGCTCCGGAAATGGACTTTTTTCTGGTGCAGCGATTACACGTAGGTAGAATATAATATCGCTGGGTACATATATCTACTGACTGCAGCGACGACGACTGCACAAACAGGCGCTCGTTCACTTTGGTTCGTTTGGCGCCACATCGAATTGGGCAATCACGGCCGCGGCCGCCGTGGCGCCAATCACATGTGACCGTCCAGATTCCCTTTTTCTGATTGGCGCGTTTTCGCCAATCAAAGATTCCCATCACCTGCGATTGGCAGGGACATCCGAAGTTCGAAGGCTGGAACTTGAAGTTGGCGCGTTGAAGTTGGCGAGGAAGTCCTTGTCACAAGGCACGGGCCAAAAAGATCAAGACCGGACGAACCCCTCGAGGCAACTGCTGCATCCACGATGCGTCGAGTGCGATGCATCAACGCACCGGTGCCAGTCCTCTATCTACGCAGATCTATAAGCACCAACGCGTCGCGAGCTCGAAGGAAGCGGCGAAATCGGCCTAGTGGCGCAGGTAGCCCGGTGCACGGCAGGAACGACAGCCTTGGCGGCACGGCCCACACTCGTGAGTCGGGCACCTTTGCGGCCCTCCTTGACGCCGCTCGCAGTCGCCTCCGTGCACGATCCATGCTGCCGAGTGCTGCGATCTCGACGATAGCTCGACGATGTACGGCCGCCGTCGCGTGCAAAGGCTCGACTTCAACTGGTGTGCTTGGGTGCCGCGACATTGATGCTACTAGAATGGTCTTTGAAGCGCCATCTAGAGCAGCAACGCAATCAGCGATCGAGCCTGCCAATGCTGTGATCGCCTTGGTTGGTGGAAGAGCGCCATAGAGGTAACTTGCTGGATGATCCAAAAGCAAGCGCGTCGTAGTAGTATGGAGAGCTGCAGGACGACTTTAGTGGTCGATGGCTTGTATACCTCGTTGACGCTGGCCGGCGAATCTCGACATGACAGCTTTGGATTCTTCGGAGACAATGCGCCGGGATGCAGCCCGCGATCGCCGGCGCCATCAACGTCATCTTCGTCAACATGACGTGAATAGCATGTTGCGAATCATCGCATCAGCGCCACCGACCTAGTTTGCAGCGCTGGAGTGTGTTTGCTACATGCCTCCTTTGCTCTTACGTCGTCATGCGCCAAACGACGTGCAGCGGAGAGATACCAAATCTCACAGATCCTACTCGCGGGAGCTCGCATCGAGCTAAGAGCTCGGCATGTGCGGCAATATATATATGAACGTGTTTCGCGTCATCTTGGTTGTTACAAAGAGTTCGCCTACGTAGAGATTAGCGATCAACTTCTTCTTTATTCGCTCGCCGAGCCGTGGCTGCGCAGGGGGCGGCGTGGGGGTGCATCTTGCTCTTCTGTAGTCGCCCTGTGGGGCTTGCGGTGGCGGGTGAGGCTCATGACGACAAGCTCCGTGAAGTCCTTCCGGGCGTCGCGAACGGCGGCAGAGCTACGCAGTTTGTTGAGGTCATCCAGAGACGCCAGCGACTGAGGCGGCATCAGAGACTCATGTGGGAATGGAGTTGGAATCCAATTAGTCCCAAGCGGTCGGGCCTTGCAGGTCGAAGTGGTTTGTTTGTTTTCGCAGGAGACGACGACACGAAGAGCTGCTACACTACACTCAAGACGAGGACGAACCCTACGGAGCGCATCGTGGTGAATCTCAATTGGGCCATGATGTGTGAGCTTTCTTGGGTTTTAAAGGCTATGTGCGCACAGTGACTGACACTCGCATCGTGCACATCACTCGCTCGCCGGGCTTGCATCGGCGTCTTGCTCGTCTCTAGTCACGTGGGAAATACGCTGCTACGGCCACGGAGAGACTCGGATCGTGTACTGCGATGGCGCTCTGATGTGGCGACTTTGGTTCCTTCAACAATGCCACGTCATCGGAACCAGGCTCGATTGCATTTGAGGTGTCCTCGTGTGGCGCGATAGCAACCTTGATTCGCATGCAATGGCCGTACTGGCGTGCCCATGATGGACTTGCGACTCGCAAGTCCATATCAGATTTGTGGTGTCAATGACGCTTTGAAAAGACATTGTCCACGGCAACCATAGCCGGACCCTTGGAAATGCTTCCTCTTCGATTTGCAGCAGCAAGACGAGCCGAGACGCAACACCGTGCGTGCTCAAGCCGCCGTGTCTGTAGTTCACCAACGCAGTGATGTGGTTTGCTGTCAACGATGTTGCCTCCTCCATGGGGATCGATGATCTTTGTTGTTGACGTAGGTAGGTCGTCTATTGAAATATAATAATGTCGGACTTTTTGCGCACTCGGTTGAGAGACGTGATTTAGGCAATTGGAGAGAGGAGCGCGATCCGCGGGACAAGATGCCGGCGCGGCCACTCGTGTTGTACGAGGAGCCGCCGACGAAGATCGGGCTCCTCGGGCTCTTGAACGCGGCTGAGGTGCAGGTGCAGTTGAGCGACACACGCCGCCTTAACGGCAATCGTAACTTGGCAGTGGTAGGCCGTCGCGAAAGACTCGATCGATCGTTCCGGACATCGTTGATTCTTGTTTTTTACGCCTTGTGCCATCACATGACGTGGCAAGCCCATAGACAAGAAGCGTTACAAAAATCTCTCATGCCGACACTCTGCGAAGGTCATTCCTACAGGGATAGACACATATTTCGTTGGGATAGCGTGATCGATGTACACGGCTGTTGGAAGCACCACACTGACGATTCGCAAGGTACTGGTCTCTTCTAGTAGCAATTGAGCGCTTCATTGACACGCCTGATGGCGCGCTTCCTTATGGGATCATCGTAGCGTTCCACCACCACAGCCATCCTGCGCCACGGTTGTTATCTGTCTTGAAACACGACCGAGTACTAGTACAGTGCATCATAATCGACTTGTGACTCGTTCGTTTCCGTTCGACCAAGACTTTTGTCACCTGTTTATGGCCACGGTGGGGGTCGTGATCGCGTCGTGGTACACTACATGCTACAAAGGTACAGTGCTACAAGCACCGCGAAGTCCACTGCGACAGCCTCTACCACTCTGCGTTGAACGAGCCATTTCGTGCGTGCCCTCTTCCCGTACGTTGCCGCTTCTCGCGTATTTCAAGATTTCGTCAACTGCAAAATCTTGATTTTTGGACCGCTATCTATACTCTGTCCAAGCAAGACAATCATCACGTCGACACGCCGAGCCGTCCAATAACATCATCTTTAAGCATCTTTGTCCACGTACCATGTCTACTAGGAACTCGAATGACATCAACAGATCGAAAGCTACGTACGCTTGATATTGCATGGATGCAGCGTCAAGGTAGAGACATCGCTCGAGACTGATGTTGGTTAATGCTACCATACCCTATATCGTGGCCCAACCGAAGTCGCTGCGAATCCGCGGTTCGCTCGAATTGCTCGTTGAAGGTCCCATGTGGGATCACGCCAGGTGGGTGATGCCGACGCCGACTGTCACCAACCACATCACACATGCGTCGCGATGCGCCCGCGCAAGAACGAAAGCGAAGCTTCTTGGTCCAAGGTGTGCGGTCCGCGAGCCAGCGCTCCGCCCACAACTGCGTGTCTTACAAGAGAATGAAAACACAACATTTCAGAATGTTGGTGTTGATGGCCAGCGGGGCGCGCGGGAAGCGTTACGAAAACGAGCTGCGCGCCCAATTTGCCACGTGGCGACCGCTCATACCAGGTGCCAACTCGACTACAAATGCCGAGTCGAGGTAAAAGTAATAGCTCGACGTCGAATGTTGGTGCCAACAATATAGAATGACTGTCAGTGCACCACTGGATCGGGTTCATAGTGCAAATGTCCACGGGCATGCCAGGTACCGGTCATCTACACGTGGCACGACCAGCTCACGGCGACTAATAGGAACGACGCTTACCAGTGCGAGTACGACGATGGACGATGTTCTCTTTGGCCGCGACGACGCCTTGACGTCTCTCTTGCTCGACGATGCGTTCGCCTCGACCGACGACGCGTTCGCCGCCGACGCGTTCCTTTCCGAGTGCTTCTTTTCCTCGGCCAAGGACGGCAAGGACCATAATGACGCGTCGCCCACGACGACGCGTCGACAGGTGCGCGACCGCCGGCACCGCGCCAAGCTTAAGTCGGAGCTTGACACGCTCCGGGAGACCGCCGCGTCGCTCACGCAGTGCCTCGAGGCGCTCCAAACGACGCAGCTGCACCAAGACGAAACGTCGTCGGCGTGGCAGCAGCGCGCGCGCCGCCAAGCGACGCAGCTCCAGCGCTCGATCCAGGAAAACCACAAGTTGCGCGAAGCCGTGACCGGCCAGCTCTCGATGGCCCACGCCTTTCAACGCATCGCTGCCAAGCGCCCGCGCCACCCGGTATGTTCGTCTGCACCAAGCCGTGCTGACGCAATCGTACGTAGGAGCTGCAAGGCGACAAGACTCTGCCATTCTACAGCCTCATGCACGCGCCGTGTCGACGGACGAGCTTGCGCGCGCTCGTGACACGGGAAGTGTCGTCGCTCAACACAACGCTGCTGCGCTTTGGCCTCCTCGATGGCCCGATGCGCTGCGAGGTCGTGCGGCGCGATAGCATCTCGGGCGCCGTCGAGATTGTCTACAGCCGACCGGTGGCCCTCTCCGCCTCGGCCGCGGTCACGGCGCTCTGGCAGCGCTTGTGTGGCAAGGTGGCCGCCTGCCGCGACTACACGGTACTACATTGTACAAGAGGACTAGGAGGAATTGGACGCCTTATCACGTCTGGTTAGAGTCTGGAAGACGTCGGAGACGATCTCGGCTACTCGAAATACGCAACATCGGTTTTTGAGAGCCGCCTCGCGCTGCTACGCACTGCACTCGACGGGCATAGCGTGCTGGTCTGGCGCTCGATCCTTGAAGACGACCGCTTTCCCCTCGGCGACGACACGATTCATGACAACTCGAGCGGCTGGTATGGACTCGCATCACAAATGCATCCTTGCTTCAAGACAATTTTGGCTGATGGCCCTTTGGATCGTGTAGGCTGCGGATCGAGAGCGTGACGGCCGCGACGTGTCATGTGACAATGGCCGTGCACTCGCTCGCCCCACCGGACGCGAGTGCCTCGTCGCATGTGCACCTCGCCCACGCGATCGAGACATACCAAGTGCGTCGCGTCGACGGCCTCTATGACGCGCTGCCGGTGTCGACCGAGCGACTCTAGTCGAGTGTTTAGTTGGTTCATCGTCAGTCGAATCCAAAAAGCCTAGCCGATGGCGTCCCTATATATATAGTCTAGTCGATGGTTTCTTCCGATGATTGGGGGGGACTCGGAGGGCATAATTTTAGCTTTGAGACGACGACCTGGACCGATGGCGGTCGCATCGACGTACTCGGGCTGGGTCAACGAGCTCGAGGCCTTCAAGCCTACGACGAGCGACGAAGACGACGACGACGACGACGAGGCTCGGGTCGAAGCGATCGCGGCCGAGTACGCACGCCCCCGGCGGGGGCACTCGTCGCAGCTGGACGAGATCAAGCAAGAAATGAAGCTTCTCAATTGGCACAAGCTCGCCAACGAAGCCGCGCTCAAGGCTGCGCTCATCAAGACCAAAGTCTCTAGCACGCCAACATTCCCCTGTTCTCATCCACAACAAACGTGCTCTAGAAACTCAAGCGCGAAGACTTGCGCGTGGCGGCAATCGTCGACGCCGACGAGCGACACGAGCGGCGGCAGCAGATCGAAGAAGAGGAAAACATGAAGCCGCTCGAGGTCACGGCCGAGTTTATCCGACAGTACGAAGCCGACGAGCGCCGGGAAGAAGTACGTTGTCTTATTGTCCATTCTGTCTCGGCTTTTACATCTCGAATCGCGTGCAGATGCGCCTCGAAAACAAGGTGGCGCGCCACATCAACTGCTTGCGGAAACTCAAGGGCATGCTCGCCGAGCGAGAAGAGCTCCGTGCGCGCCACTTGCGCTACCGCGACGGCCGCGCGGCCCTCGAGCGCAAGCTTGCTGGCGTACGACGTTGATGTGCCACTTTACAAATGGGACCACTCGTGTCTTTACGTAGGGTGGAAACCAAGAAGAAGACCAGCTACGGGACCTCAGCCGCGGCCGAATAACGCCGCGGGCCCTCGCACTCAGCGGGTCCGACGACGTGTCTTCCAAGGCGCTCTCGAGTCTCGACAAGCTCGTCGAGCTCGAGCGACGCATCGCTTGCCTTGAGCACGACGACGACGACCGGCCGTCATCCGCCATATCCGTGTTGCCATCCTCCAAGCCGGCGCTCAAATTTGCCAAGACGTCGACGGGGCGTCCGACGGCGTACACTGTTCCGTCCAAAGCCAAGACGACGAAGAAGAAGCCACAGACGTTCTTGACGGCGGTGCCCGAGCCCAAGCCGCGCCAGCTCCAGCGCGCCGCCGAGCTCCGGCGCATGCCCGAGCGCGACCGACAGAAAGCGCTCGGATGGACAAGGCACAGGCCAACTCAAGGCCCAATCGCTCCAACAAATCAAAATCGACCAGTGGGCGCAGAAGAAGAAGGCGGCCGCGACGACGCGCAAGGTCAACCATGTGAAAGCCAACATGCGCGCGACGCCCAAAGCGATGCCCAAAACCAAAAACCCTCACATGGAACAATTTCTGCACCTGAAAAAGTCGTTCGAGTCGAAGAAAGCAGCGCTGGCAAAGCCGACGCCACCGCCGGTCGTCAAGCGGCTGCCGCGCAAGAAGACGTCGTCGGTGGCACCCGTGTCGGCGCACCGACCGACACCGCCGGCCAACGATCGCCTCTTGCCGCTCATTCACACCCGAACAACTACCGTGTCCAAGCCGCGACCCAAGCCGTCGGTGACCGAGTTGCCGAAGCTCCAGCCCGGGAATGGTCTACAGTTCGAGCTCGGCATTCAAGGGTTTCGCAAGCAGCATAGATAGACTCGTAGGCAGCATACCACCACAGTGAACTCCGTTGATAACGCACACACACGATGATGTCCACACAATCGTCCTGCGTCGGCTCGCGTCTGGGACGATGGAAAGATCCTTTTGTACGTCGTAGGAGCAAGGTTTTTGAAGTCCTTGGTAAGAAGTTTCGTAGAAAAACCAGCGCAACGGCGAGTCCATCACATCAAGACGGTCAGGTTGTGATTCAGTTTGCCTTTTGCTTGCAACAACAACAACTACACGATGCCAACGACGACGACGACGATGCTGATGGACACGTGCGCCTGCCCCGACTGTCACTGCGACCCGTGTCTCTGCCGCGTGCTCGCCCACACGTGCGGCTGCCCGGTCTGCCGCTGCAACCCGTGCCTGTGCCCGGACCACGTGGATGGCTGAGTAGTCATTGTGACGCTAAGCACCTGCAACACGAAAGATGGACGACAACTCGATTCGTATTCTAAAAGACTGGGAGACTAGAAGTCTAGGAAGAGGAGAATGAGGATGCCGTGGGTCGGTTCTTGACCCCAAGAACCGACTCACGGCGTCTCAACCCCACTTGATCTTGCGCTGCCACTGTGACATGCGGGATACACGCGTTCCCATTGGCTCATCTAAGGTTGGATCGACCAATCAGCACAATGTATCAAGGTGAGGTTTGCGGACTGCGTATGGATCGAAGCGTTCACCAACATCTCTACGGTAGTTGGAATTCGTTGCGTAGACTGCTCGCTGGTTCAGAAAGAGGCGGCCAGGGACTGCGAACACTGCAAGCAGTAGCAACGCGTCGTGCTGCTGCCAATCGGTACTGGCGAGGGCCATCCCAACCACGGGACTCGTCGTGCCCAAATCCATCACAGTCCATCGCAATGTAATATCCCTACGAATCGAGCTGGCGTCCATCTTTCGTGTTGCAAATGCTTAGCGTCACAATGACTACTCAGCCATCCACGTGGTCCGGGCACAGGCACGGGTTGCAGCGGCAGACCGGGCAGCCGCACGTGTGGGCGAGCACGCGGCAGAGGCACGGGTCGCAGTGACAGTCGGGGCAGGCGCACGTGTCCATCAGCATCGTCGTCGTCGTCGTTGGCATCGTATAGTTGTCGTCGTTGCAAGCAAAAGGCAAACTGACTCACGACTGGACCGTCTTGTTGTGATGGACTCGCCGTTGCGCTGCCTTTTGTACGAAAAGGAAATGGGACAGGATGCAGAGACGATGATGGCATTGGGAAAGCATCGCGCCGTGGACGAGCTCCGCGTTTGTATGGAGCGAGCAAGGCTGTCGCGTCAACAACAGTCCGTGGGATCACGAGCGTACTCCAGCAAACGACATGGCCTTGCGCAGCGATGGCACGCTAGGGGACATGTAGCCGTGCTTCAAGGCCACGCACCTTGCGAGGGTGGACTCGATGCGTCGCTTGGTCACGTGTCAGCTCGGCGGCAGCTGGCACCACCACGAAAGCCACCAGGCCGAGAGATCGACACTGCGCTAGACGTAATGAGACGTGCTTTATACTTGACAGCTCTGCACATTTCTATTACCTCGCATTGTAGCAGCCGCGGCCATGAGTGTGTAGCTGTAGCTGGCCGTTGAAGCAGCTACACAGGTTCACCGCGCCAGGATGCCACGTCGCTGCAGCCCAGATGGGTTTCATCCGGATACCATGGCCATGGTGTGGGGATGCCACAAAAAATCGCTCAACAGCCGACCGACCAGCATGTACAGCGCGTCGCAGCTCGTGGCGCTGGCGCTGGCCGCCGGTCTCTGCTGGTTCGCCGTTCAGTTCGTGGACGAGCTCTCTGCGCTCGTGCCCTCGACGCCAACGACCTTCTCGGACGCCGAGCACGGCCTCTTCCTCGAGGCAATGGAGTTCCTCGGGACGCCGTCGCCGGCGCGCCACCGCAACCGCCTCGCGTTCTGCTGCTCGGCCGACCTCGACGTGAGCGTGCGCGCAGTCGACCTCATGGCCAAGCTCACGCCGGCGACCAAGAAGACGATTGCTGCCAAGCACCACGAGCGCATTGCGTCGACAAATGAGCTCCAAGAGAGCTTTGGGTACTACTTCTCCAAGGGCGCTGCGGCCGAACAAAGCATGGTACATCTCGACCTTATCACTGTCTCTCACGTACATCGCTAGTCGTCGGCCGAGGCTTTCCATGACGTCGTCCAGCTCGCCAAGAGCCTCCCGGGCGTGAGCCAAGCGATTGGCGGCAACGCGGCGCAGATGGCGCAGCGGGCCGCGCACGAAGCCAGCCACGTGCTTCTTGGCGGCGCCGTCGGCGACGAGATGCGCGGCCACTTCCACAAGAACGTCCATGTCGTCGGCGCGGTCGATGCGGGCGGCCACGAAGACGTGCACCTCGTGCTCGAGTACGCCAAGAACGACGCGTTCCGCAACCTTGTGTCGCCTCGCGCGAACCGGTATTACCTCAACCACGATGTCTACAACGCGCAGCTCTCGGTGCTGGAGGAGTTTGCAGCGGCGCTGCCAGCGTTCGACGCCGACCTTGTATGGCGCTGTTCGTTTCTGGCCTGTTTTATGGACCGAGCCGCGATGTAGGTTGTCATTGGCGGCCTCCAGCTCCTGGAAGTCGACACGAACGAAGCACGCCGCGTCGCGCGCCTCCAAGCCCTGGCAACGATGCTGGAGGCGGTCCCGACCTTGACGCACTACGAGTTTGCGGCCGCGTCGGGTATGTACCTTACTGCTTTTCGCCCGCCGGCGTCTCAACCGCGCCTAGACTTTACGCTCTATGACGACACGGTCAAGCTCGTCTTGCCGCATGTCGATTCCATTGGCTTCAACGAGCAAGAGCTTGCGATTCTGCATCATTTCCTCGTCACGGGTACCGTTGAAAGACTCGATTTGGTGGGAATTGAACTCACAAATATATACATACGTCTCTAGGCGACGAATTGGTCACGACGTCGTCGCGCCCGAGCGTCCAGACCGTCACGGCGCAGCTGGGCGACGTGATCGACTATGCGGCGCGCACGGACGCTGGCGCGCCGCTCCACCGCCTCAGCCGGATCCATTTCCACACGCTGCAGTTCCACATTTTGTGCCACACGGACGTGTGGGCGACGCCGACGGTCGCTCTCATGCAGAGCGCGCTCATGAGCTCCAAGCTGGCCTGCGGCGACCGCTCGCACGGCCCGCGGAGCCAGGACATGACGATCGACCCGTCGCTTGTCGAGGTATGTTGCAACGTATCCACGACAGTATGGAAACGCGGACGCAGGTGCTCTTGCCGCGGTCGACGCCGCTGACCGCAGACCTGGTGTGGGACATTGACCCGCGCTCGCCCATCAAGACGTGGACGCACGGTGCGTACTTTGTATGGATCGCATGGACAAGAGGCATCAAACATGGGTCTCGGTAGGCGCGTTCACGTGCCATATTGCCCCAATGCTGGCGTGCAAGAAGCCCGATCACACGTGCGGCCTCGGCGACAACATCTCGGGCACGGGGATGGCGTACCACGAAGCCACGGCGTGGACGACCCAGAAGTAGACGCGGCAGCTACGCTTGCAAATCAACGTTGCATGCACACGCCGCTTGCCTATGTCGAGCCACTCGTTGTCGTGAGAACTGAGGGGATGTAGGGGTCGGGCGTCGGTAGATATGATGGATTGTGCTTGCAGGTGGTCGATTGAACCGTCTTTAAGTGCAGATGCATTGCCTCTGTCACGACGACGACGATGGGCATTTCCATTTCCGTTGTCGACTGCTTTACGAGAGGCTCGCCAAGGCAGCTAATGTCTCGTGTGTTGGGCCAGGTCGAATGCATTTTTGGGAGTAAGAGCTCCAAGGGTAGATATTCATCTACAGTGGAGTGGGAGACCATGCAAGCGAATGAGCGCAGGCAGAGAGGACGTGCTGCTTTTCGCACTAACAAGAGTTGGAATCGTCGCGATGTCGTGACGTGGCCGCCTAGTGCGAACCTTGTCCACGTCAAAAATGACGTGGCACTCCATGGAGATGTTGTCGCCTTCACTGGTGAGACGTTGGTTGCGACAACGATTCGAAAGACAAAGCGATCGGTGAGCTGCACGATAACCAACGAAGAGCAAAACAAATCGAACACTGTGAAAGGAGCCCCATCAGCCCAAATCACAACACAAGGCAAACGAGAGGCTAAAGACAAATAGAAAGGGAGCACACGTGGAATGGAAATAGGATACAACGATAGCAAGTTTCGATAGAAAGCGATAGCAAACCGTTTGCAAATGGTTAACCCAGTGGTGGCCAAACGTTACTAGTATAGAAACCCTTTTCGATCTCTAAATATTCTATCCGATTTCTATCCTTTTCAATCCTTTTCTATCCAATTTCTACTTTTTCAATCCTTGTACGCGATCCTAGTCTATCCCATTTCTACATCCATTTCTATCCTTGTTCGCTATCCTGCTGCCCTCCTTTGCTTGGGTTTTGCCACCATGTGGCTATCTTGTTGCCGACCTGGTGCCCGTCGGGACCAAGGTCCTTAGTGCGTCGCTGAGAGACTCGAACGATCATGGAAATATACGATGCGTGTTGTCGCATGATTAGATTTTAGTATCCTAATAGTAGCATCCTCGAACGTGCTTAGACACACACGAGGAGCACAATCGTGAGGAGGATGAGGAAGACGATCCACGGCAACGACGGGTACGCAAAGTCGTAGAGGTCGTAGAGGTGGCGGAGGTACTGGAAGATGACCTTGCCCGTGAGCTTGCTCTCGCCGTGGACGCGGACGCCGAAGTGGATCGGCACCTCCGCATGGCGCTTCACGCGGCACTTGACAAAGAGCTCGAGCGCAATCTTAAAGCCAATCGGGCTAATGTCGCCGGGGCGCGGGCGACCGAGCACGTCGGCCGGGAGACCAAAGAAGCCCGTCATCGGGTCCGAGAGCGCGCTCAGCGGGCGCGCCAGCATGCGCGCGCCGCTCGAGGCGAGCTGGCGGTGCAGCGGCCAGTCTTTATCGACCGAGAAGCCGGCGCCGCCGTAGCGCGTCCCAATGACAAACTCGGCGTTGCCGATGGCCGGGTCGATCGCGTCGATGAGCGCCGGGACGTTCTCCGGCGGGTGCTGCAAGTCCGCGTCCATGCACAAGAGAAGCTTGCCCTTCGCCTCCTTGAAGCCACGCAGGACGGCGCTGCTAAGGCCACGCTCGTTCGTGCGGACGATGATGCGGACGTTGACGCCCTTGGCCGCGAGCTTGGTGATGACCTCTTCCGAGCCGTCGGCCGAGTTGTCGTCGACGACAATGATCTCGGTGGTCTTGGCGCGGGCCTCGCCGAGCGCCGCGAAGACGCGCGTCACGAGCTCCTCGAGGTTGGCGCACTCCTTGTACGCAGGGACGACCACGGTCGCTTCGATGTTGCCGGCCATCGTTTTGGTTTGTGGCTACGTGGACAGGTTGGTGGCACCGTATCCGGACGAGTTCGGGAATAGTGTACGATTGCGTCATCCTTCCTCGCATGAACGGGAACCGGCAGCAAGCATACTACTGTATTAGTATGCTGTGAACACGGCTCCTCACACCGGCGAGCCACGGCATTGAACCGACTGCGCGGTTGCTGCGGCTGCATGATGCGACTGCTGCATCGCGCTGCAGAGACACGAGCCGAGCGATGGATGCATGACGGAGTGCCCTTACCAACACCTGACGTCACTGTGCATAATGATTGCGGAGGGTATGTGCATCGCTTTATGGCTCGGAACAGGGGCTTCTAGACCCTTGTTCTAGGTCGCTTGATGGATTCGAGTGCTATGACAGGAGGCTAGCACTCGCATGGCTACGGTATGCCAGCGGTGCTGCCATAGACAAGCCAGTGCAAGCTAGCGATAGCCCGTGCTCCGGGCGCTAGCTCCGCGGGTTCCAGTCGCGATTAATGTTCAACATGTCATTCAAAACGATGAAATGCGTACCGGTATGGACAATCGCATCGCTCCAGCGTTGCGCCAGGGCGAGCAAATCCGGCACACTATTTGCGTGCGAAGGCTTGCAATGTATTATGTAACATTTGGCGCAATACAAACGACAAGTGAAAAGCTCGACTCCATTTGAATGCGATCGCTTGTATCCGGACGAAACCGTTCCATTTCCATCATCATTCTTTCTTGCCCCGACGTGGCATGGCCCGCCTGCTCCGCGTCTGGATCCGCGATGCGCTCGGCGCCCACGGCTACGCCTGCGCCGAGCCGCTGATCGACGACGCGGCCCATGGCATGTTCCCTCCCG